GTTGATGCCATTGAATGGATGGAATGTATATAAGGATGGACTATGATCACTTGAGGATGTATAGCTCAAGTGATCATGATAGAGCACATTGTTTCAATGGTGAATATTTTTATAAATCAAAACATGTTGAAAACAGTGGTGGAATGTTGGCCTAAGTATTTTTTCCTCCATGATCTCCTTTATTTTTCTAAATACTTATTTTTAATGACCAAAATGCCCCGTCCTTACTATAACATATTTTGCATGATCCCTTTTGCCAAGTGTTGACCCATTCCCCAATATTCATCCATTGGAGTATTCTCCTTAAAATGGGGCGCGTTGCGTAAGAGAGCTTTCGTGTTCTAACCTCTCTCTCTTAATACCAAATATTCCTCTTTCTCTACAATTTTTCAGAGATGCCTTAGTCATCAGGGAGCATTCAAAAGCCTAGCGAGGTCACCCTAAGAGAAGCTACTGCCCAGTTTCATTATCTACATCATTTTCCATTAGTTTCTCTCTCTAACCCAAAATCCTTGAAATGCTTTCTGTGTAGGAAACTTCTCTGATTTCCAGCAAGCTTTTCTGGTAATTGTGTATTCATTATCATGCTTCTTTGGTGGCTAACTTAGTGATGAGGAACTTCCTTTCTTTTGCCTTTTACATTACATGTTATCAATATAAGTTTAAGGGAAAACAAGCAAGGAGAAGGAAGTATATATTTGAGAATACTGTTGTAGTTTGGTGAGCCCATACAGATATTATTTGCATGCTAGAATTGTTATTATTAAGTGTATAACAATACATGCATGCCATCTGTTTGTTGGAATTGATAAGTGATTCTAACTACATAGAACTCAAAGAACATTTTGGTTGCTGAATTTTCCGTTGATCCTAACATTAAATTTGGTTTATTTTATCTGGCTTCTTACCTAAATGAACATTCTTCCATGGTTCCATGGGGATTAAAGTCTAGAAAATTCAAAACAAATCTTCTACCGAATCGGAAGATTTAAAAAAAAAAAAATTGGCGAATTTTTTAGCAAAAGTTCAAGTTTATTTCGTGCATCATTTTGAAGGTTACTGGGAGAAGATTACGAAGTAATCACAAGTTTCAAGGGGTGAGGAGATTAAAACCTAAAAATAAAAAATTATTTCGATTATGGGTTTTGGCTTTATGCTACACATTAGTGAACTATACTTAGTTACTAAATGCTAAAGTATTTTCCATGTGCTTGGTTGGTCGCTTAGTATGATACATGTTCTTTTGAGTTTTATTTAGTCAAACAAATGTATATATTTGTGTACGTATGTGTGTCTGTCTATATGTGAGTGTGTGTGTGTGTGTATACAGGAAAAGTCTTAAAAACGCCGATAGGCGAATTGCTACAGTGTTTCACCCCGTCACGGACATGCTATGTCCGTGACAGTTTTGCTTAAAAACTGCCACAGACCTATGGGAGCTGTGGCGGTCCCTGTACAATTTTTGCGTGGAAACAATCTTGTCACGGATATGCTATGTCTGTGATGGTCTTTAATCCATGCCGTCCGAAAATATTGGAC